TGCTGCGGCCCGAGTTCTCTTCCTGGCCAGGGAACCAACCCCAGCCACTGGGGTGGCATGCAACAGTGTGCTCTCACTGCTGGTCCCAAGCCCAGATAAAATTGGGGAGGGTTGTGTCAGGAAGGGCATCCTGCATAAAAACTGTTCCAAATCAAATATACGGACCAATGATCCGCTGTTTCAACCCTGAATGGCAGCAGCCAAAAGAGGAACAGCATTGTGAACATTTCACAATCAGAATCTTACGCATACAATACACGATTCATACAATACTTATACACAATATAAAAAATCTTTTACATAATGTACAATAATTTACATGAAAGACAGTAATTTACAGTAAACAAACAATTACTTCATTTGTTAAAGGAATTCGACAGATGCTCTTACACTTACATTTTAAGGGAGTCTGGTATGAACAGGTTTTCAGTTGTTGTTGATTTGATTATTTTTTCTCAGTATAGAGAAACATGCTGAAATTCTTGTCCATTCTAATCACACATCCGCTACAGATGTAGAAGATTTAGATTAGGTTGAAAAAAGCTGTATTCCTTTAAGCTTGCCTTGTGTAATTCAACATGTTTTCTTTCATTTGTCTTTACTATGTCTCTAATTGCTAATTAGGTTTGGTTTCAACAGACACAAGGGTTTGTCATTTCTCAGAGTGTGAAGTATGTGTGTGTGTGTGTGTGTGTGTGCGCGCGTGTGTGCACGCGAATGTGTTACACAATGGCAAAATGCTAGTAAGAAAAATAAGCGGATGCCACAAATAACCTGAGTTTAAGGAAAAAAGGATTAATGAATGAGAGTGTCTGTGTATTATTGCATATGTTTACTGTTATTATATTCGTGCATATATGAAGATTAATGCAATAGTTTGTGCAAAAATGCAATGTATTGTATGGTATTGTATGGTTAAACAATGTCTCACCTACCCCAAAGGTAACTGGTCACATGTTTGGTCATTAGTATTGTAGCTAAAAAAGTTAAGGCAAGCTTACAACCACTTATTTGGCATTGAACAAATTGCATGGCTAAATCATCACACTTTAACCTCAGACAGTGTTGAGTTGTTCAGTATCTCAAAAAGACTCACTTCACTGGTTTCTAACAATCTATATCACAGTAATATCTATAAAAAAAAATTGACAAAAAAGGACATTGCAGTGCTAAAAACAGGAGTAGCTGAAAAATAGGGACAAAGGAAGAGCAAATCGAAAAATGCAGCCATCTCCCTCCTCATCCCCCCAGTCCTAAATTGCCATGCAAATGTTTTTTTCCACTCTCTCTCTCTCTGTCTCTCTCTCGCTCCCCTTTTTCTATGTCTGCACCCCAACCCCCCCACCCCCCAGTTCCCCGATGCTTTTGTCTCGAAATTAGTGAAGCAGAGTGCTCGGGCGGCTAATTACGTATTCAAATGAAAGAGGCTCGTTAATGTTGCACAGGGGAGAGTGGAGATGATTGGGAGAGGCTGATGGAATTGAAATGAGCGCTCCGGTGTCGCCGGCACTGCATCTGGAACCAGCCGAGCGCGTGCGGCCCGCCAGATGTCACCTCCCGGGGGGTGCTGAGTGTGTACGAGTGTGTGCGGGTGATGGGAGTGTCGCTCGTTCAGACAGGGGGGATGCAAACAAGAGGGCTTTGTTTCAATAGGAGACAAAGGCTCTGTTCAAATTCTTATACAGTATGCTACATATACTGCATATATACTGTACACTACATTCATCATAGTAGTATGTGAGAATTAGCCAATTGATAAGCCTTAACTACACAGTTACGCGACTAGCTGTCAGTCACATTCAGTTGAGGACACAGTTGCCTCAGAATTACCTCAAGCTGGTTCATTTGTGTACAGTAGATTTTGTGTTCATCATCACAAATGTGTAATGTACAACAGTTAAAGCCAAAATTTATGCCACAAGGAGACAGAGAAAAGCTTTAGGGCAATCAAGGACCATTTTAGCCTTTTTGCTCATGTTCAGTACCTAGTTCATGTCCAATACCTAATAATTAGTTCATAATCAGAATCAGAAGCAATTTATTGCCAGGTACAGTAAAGGACACTCTACAGTACTAGGAATTTGTCTTGATGTCAGGTGCAAACACAGAATCAAAGATATAAAGTCAAGGGGCATACAGAAATGAAGAATACAAAATACAAAAATGCAACACAATAACAAGGGTAAAACAGTATTAAAGTGCAAGAGACCATGGTGCAAGATGAACATGCTATATATAAATATGAAATATGTAAACAGCAGACAAGATAGAATATATTAAAAATATAAATATTTATGTACAGGAAAAGTGAGAATAGAAGAAATATTGCAGCTTCAGAGGGGAGAGTGACTGTCAGTAGGTTGGGGGGGGTCACCTGGGGGGAATTGGGGCACTGTTCAGCAGGCTGACTGCAGTGGGGAAGAAGCTGTTCTTGTGGCCTGAGGTCCTGGTCCTAATGGACTGGAGCCTCTTGCCGGATCCTGGATCCTGGAGCTTCTCCGGATCCTGGAGACATACAAGTCCTGGAGTGATGGGAGGCTGCAGCCAATCACCTTCTCAGCGGAGTGGATGACGCGCTGCAGCTTGGCCTTGTCCCTGGCCATGGCAGCAGCGAACCAGACTGTGATGGAGGAAGTGAGAATAGATTCGATGATGGCAGTGTAGAAGTTGACCATCATCTTCATAGGAAGGTGAAACTTCTTCAGCTGCCGCAAGAAGTACAGCCTCTGCTGAGCCTTCTTGCTGAGGGAGCTGATGTTCTGCTCCCACTTAAGCTCCTGGGTGATGTGGTTCCCACGAAGCGGAAGGACTCAACAGAGGTCACTGGAGTGTCACAGAGGATGACGGGTGGGTGGGGGGCTGGGTCCTTCCTGAAATCCACTATCATCTCCGCTGTCTTGTGAGCGTTGAGCTCCAGATTATTCATGCTGCACCATGACACCAGACGGTCCATCTCACATCTGTAAGCCGACTCGTCTCCATCAGAAATGAGGCCGATGAGGGTGGTGTCATCTGCGAACTTCAGAAGTTTGACAGACTGGTGTCCAGATGTGCAGCTGTTGGTATACAGGGAGAATAACAGAGGAGAGAGGACACAGCCTTGGGGGGATCCAGTGCTGATGGTCCAGGAGTCCGAGACATGCTTCCCCAGCCTCACGAACTGCCGTCTGTCTGTCAGGAAGTCTGTGATCCACCTGCACAATGAGTCCGGCACGTTCAGCTGTGAGAGCTTGTCTCGGAGCAGAGATGGGACGATAGTGTTGAAGGCAGAGCTGAAGTCCACAAACAGTAACCTGGCATAGGATCCTGGGGAGTCCAGATGCCGGAGGATGAAGTGGAGGGCCATGTTTACAGCGTCATCTACAGATCTGTTGGCTCTGTAGGCATGGGATCCAGAAGAGGGTCTGTAATGTGAACATGACGAGGAGCTCAAAAGACTTTATGACCACAGAAGTCAGGGCAACGGGTCTGTAATCATTAAGTCCTGTGATCCTCGCCTTTTTAGGGACTGGAATAATCTCTGAAGTTTCATTCATTCATTACCTAGTGACAGCTAGTTACGAAATCAGAAGGGCACATATTTATAATTAATGTATTAATTTGTTAATAACTGTCATAGCAACCTAGCAGCGTAAGGTAGGTACGGTACAGTATTTAGACATTGCTAATAGTTGTCAGTTAGCATTGTCAGTTAGCCTGTTTAGTTTACCAATAAATTAGCTAATGTTCACTTTCTGTTGCCTTCTTTGCCAAAGATTTTCAGCCTCTTTTGCATCGCTGGCGTGTTTGTCATCTTTGGTGTACTATAAATATTAATGCTGCTCAAATACTGAGTATTTTTGGTTAGGGTTTAGTATGAGTAGTATGTTACATAGTATGCTTGCTAGTTTTTGGTAATACTAGCCATGACTCCATGCAGACACAGGGAAACTAATTAGCCCATTAGCACTCAGGCTAATAACTAGCTACTGAATATTGTAATAGAGCACATTTCATTTCTTTCTTTCTTTTTTTTTTTTGACACAGCTCTTCTCTTTGATGCAGCATTGATTATACCACCCCAAACCACACAAACTTTTAGCTTTATTGGTGACCATAAATTGTTAAGATAAATATTAGCTTGTTGAAAAGATCTCTTTTCTCAGACAGTAGTATTTGGATGTGCCCTTTGTGTGTGGTGTAATTAATAAGATGCAATGTCACAGGGTTGAGCTGGATGTTTTAGATGAAGCGCTGTGTATTTACATGAATGCAGGTCAAACATGAAAAGGGCTAAAGGAAAAATATGTATTATTCGTAATCAGCCACGATTATGAATCATCTGAGTGTGACTTGCATCGATGTTTTGACTAGTTCCATACTCCGAGGAAATATCAACACGTTATTCCATTTTAGAGCCATAAATAAAAATGGCTTACCATACTAATAAACTACAGGGCAGGATTCCTCTTGTATTAGAACAGCCTCAATACTTCATAGCAAGCATACCACAATTTGTTGAAAACATCCCTTTTGAGATTCTGGCCTATTTTGATATGATTGCATCACATAATGACTGCAGATTTGTCAACTGTACATTCATACTGCAAATCTCCTGTTCTGCCACATCACAAAAGTGTTCTACTAGATTCAGATCTGGTGGCTGAGGAGGTCAGACAAGTGCACTTGTTGTCATGTTCATGGAGCCAGTTTGAGATGACTTTGTGACATAGCACATTATCATGCTGGAAGTAGCCATTTAAAGGAATGCTCAGATAGGCTGTGGCATTTAAACAATGCTCTATTGATTAAGGGGCCCAATGTGTGCCAAAAAAAAAAAAAAAAATCCCCCCACACTATTACGCCACCACCACCAGCCTGAACTGGTGACACAAGGCAGGTTGGGTCCAAGGATTCACACTGTTAATGCCAAACTCTGATTTGGAATTCTGACCAAATTCTGAGCTGAGAGACAGCTGACCTATCTTTTACTTAACACCTACTGTGTAAGTGGCTCTGGTGACTGGCTACCTCAGTTGGTAGCGCGTGAGGCTCTTAATCTCTGGCTCATGGGTTTGAGCCCCATGTCACTGGGGTTGCACTGTGCTAGTGCGCTCTCAGTGCCAGTCCCAAGCCCAGATGAAATGGGAGGGTTGCATTAGGAAAGGCATCCGGTGTAAAACCTTTGCCAAATCAACATATGTGGATCATAAATCAGATTTCCATAATGGAGATGGAGGATCTTCTGTAGTGGCAGACATGGGTGTCAAAATGGTCAGTCTGCCTAAAGGTGTTTTAATTGCAAGCTTGCTAGATAAGTGTGCTTATGTCATGCTTTTATCAGGTTGTTGGTTATGTGCCATAGTGAAACGGACATAAGCCATAAGAAATAGCATTTGCTTGCGTTAGCCTCTCATCTCAGGATAATAGTTTAGAATAATAGTCTAGTTTATAATGTAAATATAAAGAATTCTAGTAATCTAAAAAAAGCTATTCTCCTTTTTTAAAAAAAATCAAATTAATAAAATAAAAAGGAATTATTAATAAACGATGACTACTGGATGGGTGGGACTTCTGAACAGACTGTTAATGTAAGCTTTGAATAAAAGCATGTATCAAGATCATATTTAGCATTTCATCTTTTTAGACTTCATTTATTAAAAATATTAATAAATAAATAGCAATTGCCTTCATGCAGTTAGTATGTTAGTGAAATTCAGTGGGGTCATAAGGTATCTTTAAATGAAATTTGCACATCACAAATAAAGTTTGGCCCTTTGACATACTGTATGCTGCAAGATATTTTGAATGAGGGTAGTCTTTTATTTTTTATTTTTTGTAAAAAGGTAAAAATCATAAAACAATCCTTGTGTTTTACAGCTCTAGGACACAGACACACACACCTGCACGCACACACACACACACACAAACAGGAGCACACACGTGCGCACACTCAACCGAGCCGCCATCTGCTCGCTCGTCCTTCAGCTGACATCTACCTAACCTTCATGCTAACATATATTGAGCTTGCACACCAACACTCCTGCACACACACACACACACACACACACACACACACACACATGCTTACAGACACAGACATAGAGGTTAGGGAAAACACAGGCAGAATGTAGCTTTGTTTTCACAAAGTAAGTCTCAGTCTCATTTTTTTAAAAAAGGTTTAGTATTCAAATGCATTCAAATGTTAATGAGCCTATAAATGAAATACTGCCACAGACAGTGAACATTTACCTCAATTTTACATTTCTTATTCATCCTGAGACTCACATAAAAAGTTCAATTTTTTTAACTCGTCTTTGTACATTTTTTTATTTAGTCAGAATGGTAAATGGGTTTCTATTTACTACATATGCTCACTACATAGGGTATAGCATAATGGCACTATAGAACTTACATATTGCACAATATTCTCAATACAGTACCTATATTTGGGATTATAATTGATGGGAATCATGTGAAACTATGCTGTCAAAGGTGCCATTTATTCAAAGCAATAATATACGCAAGCAACAAGGGGCTTTTAACCAGAAAATGTATAACACAGACTAAAAGTAGTACATGGGATCTTAATTCCAATGTGAATATTTGGTGTCTGAATATGAAAATATTACAACAAATCTAACACACACACAGTCATAAACCATGATACCTGTATACTGCACATACACTATATACACTCAGATTCGCTACACATACATCACATACATCTATGCTACACATACATCACACACACACTCACGCCTTCATCCTGTATTCATGGCTACAGTGTGAGTGTGTTGCCCTGGGGTGTGTAACCTTGTGCCCTGCAGGTATCATTAGGAAGGCTCTGTACAGTCAGTATTGATCCAGGAGCTGATAATGTTATTCAGGTCTCACACACACACACACACACACACACGCTCTCTCTCTCTCTCTCTCTCTCTCTCTCACACACACACACACACACACACACACACATAGACATATCAAAATCTAGAGTAAACACTTTCGGAACTATGCAGTTCTCATAAAATATCAGGCTTAATGCCTGAATGTATTGTTTGCATATTGTTTTAAAGTCTAAATATACAAAGAGGTTACACTTTAAAATCAGTGGTTAGTTCCTGTGTAGTCCATATGTAGGAGATAGATAGATAGATAGATAGATAGATAGATAGATAGATAGATAGATAGATAGATAGATAGATAGATGAATTTTAAAATGTCAACATACACTTGTGCACTTACATGAGACAAAACTGAGGTTGATACAAGTGTACATAAGGTGTACTGCTGTAATACATCTGTAACAGCACCAACTTCCTCAGTAGTTACATTATAGCTGCCTGCATAGTTTATGTGTAACTAGAGTGAATACATGTCCTCCAGTGCAAAACTTGGTGGAAAGGTTTAAAGAATAGTGCGGTATTAGCAGATTTGAACACAACAATAAACTTCTAGTCATGATACTCTGAAGTGTTGAAGTGCTAAAATTAGTAGTATATAGCAGTATACTGTAGAGATGATCAGCTTTTGCTCAGACAGCATGAGATTTATGGTGCTGAGCCAAGATTTTATCTGCATCGCACACCACACACTTCACTCCGTTCCACACTGTAAATCCAAACAGCGTCTTTTAATTCTCCGAATTCTGTTTCTTGCATCTGTGTTTATTCACTCTACAGCTGGAGGATGTGCCAGTCTGTTTTCCTCTCTTTCTATTCTTCGGCACCAGACCGCTCTCTCTCCTTCTCACTTGTTCTTTTTCCTTTCTTTTTTTTTTATTTTGACGGAGATGCATGGTGTTTCTAATTTGGCATGCAGACATTAATTCCAGCACAGCTGCTGCCATCTCTCTCTCTCTCTCTCTCTCTCTCTCTCTCTCTCTCTCTCTTCTTCCCTCAAGGCTTTTTCTAATGTGCAGCTTCACAGACACGCTGCAAATGATCAGCGGCATTTATTCGGCAGAACATGAATTCTTCTCCAATCTGCCAATCCACACACATATACAGCTCTGCTGCTGATTGTGTGAATGAGGAGAAGGTATAAAGTGCCTCAATCCAGAGGCTGAGACGAGCTTTCCTTGGGATTGGGGTTGTTTCTTTTTTTTTTTCCCTTTATGTCTTTGCATTTTAGAACTGTTTAGAGCAAGGAGAGAAATCCACATAAACATGGATTTCTATGGCCAAAGTATGCACACAAATTTTAATTATAGGACTCATAACTGTAACACGAGGATTGTAGTAGCAGTCCATAAGTAATTATCACAGTTTAAAACTACAAAAATAACTATGAAATGATTCATAGAATTATGATATTAATGTATTTGCTTACAATTAAGTCTGAGAAGAACATCTGTTGAGAAAATATGGCTTTTTTTTTTCTAATAAACAGGTGCATATACAGAAGAATCTTGATTTTACGTGTTAAGGTCTAAGGTTCATATGTCTCAGATTGCCATTGCACAGCCATACTGGTCAAGTTTGGATCATATTTCTCAATTCCCACAATTGAACTGCAACAGATCCAGATGTTAGCTGGAATGGAGGCTGTCTTGCATGAACATACACATACACAGCGTGTGTATGGATGCCACACACCCTGTGGATGAGCAGCCATGTGGAGTGGGTGCCAGAATTAAAAATGGGGTGAACAGGCCCCTCTATTCCCCCATGGATGGCAAGAGTAATGACTTATTAGCTGGTAATTAGGAGCTAATGCAGAGGAGGGAGAGAGAGAAGGAGGGAGGGAGACCATACGTGTGCGGCTGTGTGAGAGTATGTTTGGACTTGTGTGCAGTCAGGTGCATCTCAGGTGCCATGCACCATGCAGGTGGGGAAAAACAGGGAGGAAGAAAGAGGGAAAAGGTGCCATGTGGATGATTCAGGCACTGGAATGCACAAAAAATATGGGGAGATAATGGGGATCAATGAATAGGGACCAAGGTGTAATGGGAAGAAAAATAGACAAGATTTCTTCCAATAAGGGGTGATACGAGAGCAGGAGGAAGTGAGGAATGGAGGAATGGAGCGAAGAAGGATTTGGAAAGCTGCCGCCACATCTGCTTGTACACCATGTCACACAGGCGGCTGTCAGCTGTCGGCTTGGACCGCAGTCAAAAACCCGCCGCTGCGCTCTCTGTGGATCATCATGGCACGGCTGTGTATTTCTGCTTTCTCTCTCTGTCTGTCTCTCTCACTCTCTCTCACTCTCTTTCTCACACACACACACACGCATACACACATTGTCTTTCTGTGAGAAACTGAGTGGGAGTGGGAAAAACATTACAGAGGATATTCCCTGTGTGCAAATTTATTCCTTCACGCTAAGTATGTTGTCGGTGTCCCAGAATTCCTCACATAGGGCTTTTCCAGGGCATAATCTCATGCAATTGTGCCAGAAAAAAGGATCTCAGCTGGCAAAATCAGCTCAGTTATGGCCCATAAACCTGCTGGTCTGGAATCAAAGGACCCCTGACACCAGGGGCCGGAATAACGTCGTCACCAGTTAAAGTTGTTTACATTAGTTGCACAGCCATGCACACCATTAAGGCACACCAATTAGCAGGAGGTCAAGGTAGTATTTTATAATGCCATACATTGGAGCCTTAGAGCTAAATTTCAAATACGGCTGCCCCACTGAGCGCTGTTCGGTTAATGGATTCCTTTATTAATCATTAATGCTTACAGTTTAGTGTTTGTACTGTGCAAACAACATCCAGTTAAAAGTTGTCCATCCCCATCCCCCGCGTGTGCTGTTGGCGTTGGAGAATTCTTCACATAGGATGCATTCCTTACATTCGTCATTCCCCCTTTAATCTCAAACTGTACTGCTAATTCCCACCAAAAAGATTCTCACTAGGGGTGTAATGATACGGCGTATCAAATTCATTCAACTGGCTGGAAATGCTGCTCATATTACATGAGGTGAAATAAACATTTAAACCTAATCAAGCCTACACTCCCGCCTCTGTAAAAGTAACTTTTAAAAAGTAAAAACACGCTTCTCCTGATAACTTTTTTTTTTTCATGAGTCAATATACCAGCAGACTAGCATACTATCTAGTATTAGCTCAAATCAACTCTAGAAAAACA